TTTTGTGCTCTTTGCCTTGGGCCTGGCTGTACTCTGGGTTCTCTGCGTATGCCAGATCATTCCACGGACCCTAGGATGTCAGGCAGTCTCGCTTTTAAGAAGTGAAATGACAAAAGCAGACAGGGTTAGTGATGAAGCCAGACAGATGCTGGCTTAGAGAGGATACAAAAGGTCTAGGGGAAGTCTGTCTTCAATTTTCTAAAAGGTTTTTAATGATTTAAATTACTTTTCTGATTAGAGAATATTCAAAACATACGAATGGGTATACAGTGAAAAGTCTCCCTCTTACCTCATCTCCTAGATGCTCAATTTCCCTCCCCGAAGCACTCAAGTTTTGGTGTTTCCTTCCAAAACTATCTTAGGCATATATAAATAAATATGCATCTAATTACATATATATGCATGTGTGTATTTTCATACACTGCAAACAATATATGCCATCTGTTCTGCTGCACATATGTTTTGTAACCCAAATTCGCTGACAAGGGAGTGGTAAATCTGGAGAATGGTGATAGCACAGTGTGGAGTCGCGTTGGTGCACGTGTGATCTTTCCCCAGAACTATGGTGTTTATCCCACCGTGTAACAGCAACCGAGCAAGCACACCTGGCTTCACTCCCAGAAACAGCACCCAGCTCAGGACGCTTTGAGTGCAGCACTCCAGGATCTGAGACCTAGAGATTCCTGGGCAACCAATTTAAATGCCAGTTACCATATCCCAGTCTTTCAGCCTATGAATTAAAACTCTTTCAACTGCAAGTGGCTTAAGCAAAAGATTATTTTTTGGTCACATACTGAAATGGTCAAGAGTGCACCTGGCTTCAGGCACTGCTGAATGCAGAGCTCAAGCTGTATCATCGGGAGTGGTTTTCCCATCTGTCAGCTCTGACTTCCACAGCCGTCTTCATTCTCAAGCTCCTGGGGTGGGCTGCGGCAGCTCCAGGAGGGCCGCTCACGGGGGCAATATGGCTGCTACAGCTCCAGCTTCAGGTCCTTCCAGGTTCAAGTTCAGCGTGAAAAGCAAGAGCCTTTTCTGGTAGCCCTAAGATTTATTCTCATGTGACCAGCTTGGGCCATGTGCTCACTATTAAGAAGAAATGGAGAGCTTTTTACTTAATAAAAACATATGCAAATCTAAACAAACATTGAGTACATGAAGAAATTAAAATAATCTGTGTGGTTAAAATAAATCAAGATAGACCTAAAATTCCAGACAAGAATATCATATAACAAGGAGCATTCTGAAGGCACTGTATTTCCAGATAGAGGATAAGGATTACCATTAGAATTTGTTTAGTTAAGTGCACATGTTTAAAAAAAAAGATTTCAAGGAATCCATTAAAAAAATAGAAATCCGCCTGAATGAGGAGTGGGGTGGGGGTGGGGGTGTGAAGAGGGGAAGAGGGAGAAATAAACTAAACCGGTGAATGCTGAAGTTCATAGCAGCACCTAGTGGTGAAAAGGAACCCTTATAACGTCTCCTTCCTACTTCAGAAGGAATTTTTTAAACAAAGTTGACGGTTTTTCCTAAAACTTAATTGCAAATTGTTGAAAGCACTTCTTTGGATCTGCAGCTCCAGGGCATTCTTTGTGGAGTTGGGGGCAATGGGGCCTTATTCCATCCACTGAAACATCTCTGAAGAGAGACTGGGCCTTGCAGACGCAAGAAAGAGTAGATGAATATTCTCCCCCCAGGAAAGCCCTCCCCTTCCCCCCATTTCACAGTTCTCTCCTTTGGCTATACAGAGCTTCCTCCACCCACCTCCAGTTAACCCATCGTAAGTTGAAAATACAGAAAGTCCAAAATGCATCTCCTACACCTAACCTCCCAAGCACCGAGCATCATAGCTTAGCCCAGCCTACCTTAAACGTGCTCACAACGCTTACATTAGCCTACAGTTGAGCAAAATCATCTCACACAACGCCTATTTTATAATAAAGTGTTGAATGACATGTAATTGACTGAATACCGTGCTGAAAGTGAAAACAGAACGGTTGCGTGGGTCCAGCATGGTTGTGAGTGCAGCGGGTGTTCACCCTCGTGATCCGGGGCTGACTGGGGGCTGCGGCTGCTGCTCTGCCCAGCATCACGAGAGGATCGGAGCGCATATCGCTAGCCCAGGAAACGAGCAAAATTCAAAATTCGAAGTACGGTTTCTACTGACTGTGTATCGCTTTCCAACCATCATAAGTCGGAAAATCTTAAGGCAAACCATCGTAAGTCAGGAAGTCTGTACTTTTCCATGAAGTTTCTCCGATTGATCCAGGCAGCCAACGGAGCGGACGGTGGGC